AATCACAGAATCTATCTTCTCTGAGATAGTCATGCTGTAATCTCTTGCATTTTTCTGTAGGATGAACTTCAAGGAATTGAACCCTTGAGTGAATATGCAATTGTCACAGGCTTATATAAGAACAAAACTCTTTGTCCTAATCCTGAAGACACATGTGATTTTGTTAGGGCTGCCCATCTAGTGTCAACACCTTTCCATGGAATAACAGAACAGAGAAATCAGCTGGATGACAAACTAGAGCAAGAATGTCTGGAATCTAAGACTATACCTCTGAATCAACAAACAGCTGTTTGTGAAGAACAATATGAGGAATCCATCTATGTGAAAAAACTGAGGTAACTCAGTTGGGAGGTCAACAGCTTTTGAATGTTTATATAGGATTGCGCACACAACTGTCTTGGTTGCGTATATGGTGGCTATATGTACAGATTTTCATGATGGTTCCCAGATCGCTTGCCTATTATTCTGCTATAAAATTAGAAATAAATGCTAATTGCTCATGATAATATTAAGAGAATTATATATTATCCTCACTGCATCCAGGAATTTCTGTTACATAAAATTCTGTGTAAACTTGAACCTTACACCTTGCCTCATCATGAGCAGAATTTCAAGACAAAATTATATTTGAATGCTGCTACTAACAATAATTCACAGATTATGTTAAAAAAATAATGCATTAAACACTTTTCTCCCGTGCTTTTTAATATCTGTATGTGAAACTGCTGGGAAATGTGATATGCAGCTCTGGAATAAAGTGGCATCTGAACATTAATGATATTCAGCTCTACTACCATTTACCTTCTAACTGCAAGGAGGTTCAGAAAAAAAAATAACCAGTTTAAATATGTGGCCTTTGGAGTTGTTGGCAGCTTGAATAAATTTGCAGGATGTAAATCTGATACAGTTGTTTTCCAATTATGTGTAGTCCAATTTTGGAGGCAAGCCAAGAAGATACCAGATCTTCAGCATCTTCAAGTTCCCCAACACAAATCTCTACTGTTAAATTGGAACAAATTCCCGAGAAACTGGAATTGATTCACACTACTGATGAAATCACCAATGATGTTGAAAATGCCTCTGGTGAGTCTGCAGCTGACAACTTAATTTCTTATTCCAGGCTTAAAGCATATGCCTAATAAATATACATTTATAACTGTGTTCTACAAACCATTCAGCAAAAGGAGTTGGTTAATATTTCTTTAAGGGAGGGTATCATGCTACTGGCCTTGGAAGAGGTGGTACAACCTCTCAGTAATCTCCCGATGTTCACTCAGTCTCCAGTCTTCATTTTTTGTAAAACAGTTGCTACATGTGATTCATTAATAAGGGCAATTGATTCAATTAATAATTGAAAACTCTATTAGCAATATACCAGGAACTGTTTGAGGGACTATTTGCAAGGCTTCTTAGCATTAGTGGTCTGTGAGCCACACAGGTTAGCAAAACTCAATCCTGAGTTTTACAGCAGAGCAACTTGACTTTTGCTGTTCTGCACCCCCACTTATTCTTTCATGTCTTTGAAGGGGTGAGGGATGCTTGGACACTGTCTCAAAGTTAACTGGATTCTTGGTTCATGCAAAGCTGTGTTATATATTGTTAACGGTAACAATACCAGGTCAGGCTGGACAATGTTGTCAAGTATAAGGCAAGAAAATACACATTGGTAATATAAAACACATCCTGCGGGGGGGGGGGGGACTTATTTGAACAGCAATATTCAATTGCTGTGTATTTATAGAGGAAAATTGCTATGCAGTATGGAATTGTTATCTGACAGATATATGGTTTGGGTTTTCTTTTTTCTTTTTTAGATGACTCTTCTGAAGGTTTGCAGCATGCTGAACGACGCAAACAGTTCTTCCAACCTCTTCCAGATATCTTGACCGAGGCTTTTGGCTTTAAACAGGAGGATCAGATTATGCCTTGGATAGAATTGGGAAAAGAAGTTAATTTGGGTGATTATAGTTATAGTCTTTTTATGGTATAATCTGTTTTAATAATAAATTCTAGAAGGAGAGTGGAAAAGCCATGAGCAGCATGTAACCCCACATCCCATTTGCGATCGCGATCCCCTTAGAATGTATGAAGTGAAATTGTTTAATCTTTTGTTAAAATGGAAGACTTGAATCTTGCTAAGATGCTCCCTTTTTAAGTCTGGTTGCACTAGGTCGGTTTTTCTTTTTTCATGTTGGGTTTCTAAAGGAGAAAAAAAACCCAGTCTCTTCTGCTCTAGTGATGTCATAAGCAATACAGAAAGGCAAAAGACTGCCTCTAAGGTAGAAAAATTTGCCATTTCTGCATTGTGATATATAAAACATTGGGAACTCAGTTAAGCCAGTATATAATTTTTTTCTTCTAGTTCAATTTGCTTGAATTCATTAGCTATTCTATGTGGATGGAAAAAACACTATCAGCATTCAGTATTATTGTGATGTTTAACTTGATTACTAAATTACCAAATTTACCCTGGGTGGGGAGTACCTGTCCTTTAAATTACAGACTAGTTTTATATGCCCAGAGTAGGCCCTAAGAGCCAATAGAGAAAAAGAAGGGATTTTATCAAGTTTGGGGTGGGAAGAGGATTTGATTAGGGGTTAATTACTTCAGGCAAGGTTGAAAAATGATCTGTTCTTATTGTTTTCAATTTCAGATAAGTAGTTGGACCTTGGATTAAAGTGTAGAACAGATCTAATCTGTTACTTAAGGCTAGAATTGTTATTAGGGTTTTTTTGTACTTTATTTTATCTCATTTTTAATTTACCATGTTACCATGCAGATGCTGATCTTTAACAAACTTGATGAAGTGTATTTTGTGAACACTGAATAGTTTACCTGACTCTAATTGATGATGCCTTAAATTCCAGTGATACAGGGAACCACAGAAAGTTACCTAAAGAATTCAGCTATTCGTCTTGTCATATTTAAAACATTTATCCTATCAAAGGGTTAAATGTACAGCAGGCAACAGTGTCCATATAAGGTTGAAAATAATTTAGGAGAGGTGTTTCTAATCTTGGGCAAACACAGTGCTTTCCTACTATTCTTTAAAGCAGACATGTCAAACTCGTGACGTCGCGCAACGTATAGGGACGATTTTGCCATTGCCGGCAATGGGGTGGGCACGGCTTCCACGTGACGCGTTTGGCCTTTGGGCTGGCAGTTTGACACCCCTGCTTTAAAGGATTCCAGCTTTTTTCAAACTGCCTCATGAGCTTGAGGAAAAAAAATGCCGCTGTAAGAAGCTGCCTCTTTAATGCAGCTTTCAAAGCAGGGACAACTTTGTGCTCATGCAGAAGTCTGAAAAAAGCCTGTTGCTTTAATTAATAGCAGGCAAGTGCGGTGCTCATGTGAGGTTTGAAGTACCTCTGTCAAAGCATTTATGAAGCATTGCACAGTACAAATAAATATGCAAGTAGTGATGTTGGTTATGCAACCCTCCACATGTGATCCATTGTACTATCCTCCCAATAATTCCAGGTTAACAAAGAAACTCTAGAGATGTGTAGAGATGTAGGGTTTTTTAGAATTAAATATTCATATGCCCAAATATTATTTCTAGATGTGTAAGGGTATTAGAAACATGAAGTGTTCTAGTAATGATTTGTTTTGAAAACAATTCTGTTTCAACAGGAAATGCTACTTACCATGTTACTCATGAGTATTTGATCAGTAAGCAAAACAAGATATTCTCTGCTGTATCAGCTGACATTACAAATAAGGATTCAGCAGCATTTTTAATAAAGGTATAATTATTTTATTCTGATCATCCTTTAATTAACTCTTTCAAACTCCCATATATTCACTGACCACTTATGAAGCCCTTTCATCTATCCCTTTAATTTTCAGTGCAGTTCTCTTGCTTCTGTTCTAAAATGACAAGTTACCAAAGCCCCTAAGATTGTTTTCTAATTAAAAACAAAAATGTATTCCTTTCAAACAACAGTTAAAAATACAAAAAGATTATCACCATAAAAAGTAGAAAGGCAACAAAGGATTTAACTTTTACTACTGCCTTAAGCCGAACAGTAATGTTATATTTTTTTTAAAAAAAAATCATTCAATGAAAAGTAAGGTGAAATAAAATTGTATTTTAATTCTGAAGCATAAGAGTTCAGGTCAGAATGAAACTTCCATTTGTTCTGTCTGCCTGAACTGTGTCCCAGATTTTTTCTAGGGAGCTTTATTTCGCTTATTTGGAAAGACATATAGTTGCAAATGATGTTTTGCTAGCAGATTGATACTATTAGATATAACCAATTCATTTTAATTCAGTCTCTGTAGTTTCCCTGCATGATGTGGGCCACTCTAATCCAATTTTAATTGCTCATCCCATCTCTATTACCTGGGTGGAATTAGGCAATGTTTTCAGATTTTCTACAGGCAGTGAAGCACAGTGGTCATAATAGAATACCTTTCTATGGTGAAACTGCAATGTGAGCATGGTATTTCAATTGCTGTAATGAGATCTGCCATATTGGCTCAACTTTATCTGCTACATAAACACACAATTTATTTACTTGTCTATCTAACTTATACAACCGTCTGTCTCACAAGCAAGTAACTCTAGGCTGCGTACATTAACTATAGTTTGTACATTATCAGATAACAAAATAATCACTTAAATTTGGAGAAGTATAGCTGTTGAGGTCTGAATATTAGGAAGTCATAGTTGTAAATATTCTTTATGCAGGTACATTCTGAGCCTGTGCCATGGGACTTCTACATATTATTGCTACTTCAAGAGCGCCTAGGTGCTGAATTTGACCAGAACTTTAGTCAATACTGCACTTGTTTCTTATATCACAATGGCTGTGTGACTCTCCATGAGACAATATGCTCTCTCACTGTTCAGGTCAGTGTGTACATTGTTGAGTGAGTGGGAGTTGAACAATTTGTTTATACTTGCCTTCATGTGTAAGTAAAACAGCTATATGAAGAATTGGAACTGAAGTAGATGATGCAAAATAAAAAAAGGGATATGACTAAGAAAAGCAAGCTTTAAATGTAGGCATGATATTTCCAAGATTTAATTAACTGAGTTGGGATCAGGGTGGTGGAATGTTTTCTTATGCCTAATCTTTATTCCTCCCCCCTCCCAGGATATGATCCAGCATGATAAAGCTATCCCTCAAGAAGTGATATTGCTGATCATTGAGAACCTCCTAGAAGTGGTGGAAAAATTGCATAAAGCAGAAATAATCCATGGGAATCTGAATCCAGAAACGTTGTTCTTGGGAGACAGGTTGGCTGTCTTTCTTTATTGACCTCAAGCTTTGTGCTTTTAGACTGGCACTTTTCAAAATAATATTCCAAGTAGATGCAAGCTTGATTTTGAGCAATGTATGTCACTAAGGAAAAAATAAGAGCATTATAATAATTAATTCTAAATTGGTATTGAATAAGGACAATCTAGACACTTGGGTCAGTAAATTCAAATTTAATTGTATTCTATCCTAACTTGTACCTAGGATTTATGAGAAGTTCACCAATCCATTTGGAGCCATCTCTGGCCTTCAGTGTTATTGATCACAAACATATAGGTGTAATCATTAATAGTCTAGTTTATGGAGAACTGGGTGTCACATATCAGTTGTACAGCGGAAAAAACTTGTATTAGGAAATGAACTTATTTTAAACATTGTGTAAACCAGGGGTCTCCAATCTAAGGACTGGGGCCTGGTACCGGGCTGCAGCCTGTTGGCCACTGGGTCCCGGGAATGGCTGGTCCTAACCCCCCTACTCATGCTAGCACCGCTGTGCGAGTGCCGCAGGTGCACATGGCCCGCTTGCACATGCGTGCGGGCACTAGCGCCCCCACCATGCACAGGCCTGCTTGCGCATGGCCCACTTGCGCATGTGCAGAGGCTCTAGCACCCTTGCCATGCATGTGGGCGCACATTTCCCTGCTCCTCCCTTTCCCTCCAGGCCACCAACCCAGAAAGTTTGCAGAACTCTGTGGTAAACCATGATTTGCTTGATTATTGTTTACAGGAAAAAAAAATCGGATAGTTTTCATAAATTAGTATTGACTGAGGAAAATGAACTGTAAAATAAAGCGTCCATGTGAAAAATGTATTTATCTGTATATACATATACAAAATCCCAAAGGTGCTTTTTCAGGAGGCAACTGGACTTTCTTGTTTTTCTTTGAAGATGTTTCGCTTCTCATCCAAGAAGCTTCTTCAGCTCTGACTGGATGGTGGGGAATGGAAGGATTTATATTCCTATGACCAGCTTGTCTGCAAGGAGTATAAATCCTTCCATTCACCACCATCCAGTCGGAGCTGAAGAAGCTTCTTGGATGAGAAGCGAAACGTCTTCAAAGAAAAACAAGAAAGTCCAGTTGCCTCCTTTGGGATAACTATGACCTGGATGACTGAGGATCTCCATAGAAATACATATACAAACATTTTCTGTTTAAACTACCCTTTCATGCACATAAACACGGTGAACATCTAACGGCAGCAAAGATAAATTATTCTGCAATGCCCTATGGAGTTCAGTGGCACTTTATTCCAGATAAGTATGGTAGCCTTAGTCTCCTCTTTACCTTCCATTTGCAGAAGATGAAATCTTCAGTGGAATAATTCTTAACTATAAATATTCTTTGCTAATTAAGGATTTGATTTCAGGCAACCTTGGTCACATAGTTGGGTTTTATGTATAGAGGAAGTCTCCATTGTAGACACTCATTCTCCATCTTTTAAAGGCAACAAGAAAAGAACAGGGCTGATGTGATTGCCTTTTTTTGCCTCGGAGTAACCAGTACGGTTTCACATGCATACATACAAATCCATCCTTCTTCCAACCACTTGCTTTTATTATCCTCACCTGCTACCCATAGACGTCTTTTCAATGATATGTCCTATGGCAGTATTTTCATCAAATACAAAATACCTCTACACACGTGTGTGTGCGCACACAATCCACAGATAATTGATTAATTGAAGGGAAAACCTTGTTTTTCCTTTACATCAATACACCATTAAAAATGAAGCAAATTCTTATTGCAAACGCTAGAGGGAAGCAGTAAGACAGATGTGTGCAAATACTGTACCATTCAATTAAACTGCACATCTGCTCTCCTTCAGGATTTACAATCCATTTGCCATGGAGAAGACTAACAAAATTCTGAAGATAGTGGATTTCTCTCACAGCCTAGATTTACAACGAGAGCCAACTGTGAATTCATTGAAAAGCTTCCCAATAACTCACACCCAGATTGGACAGCAGATCTTTAATAAAAACACCCCAGTACATCAGGTAAAAGCCCATTTTTCTTGGTAACTCTTATTTAAAAATATTTAAAATTTTTGGATGTCTTACTAGAAAATCCCAGAAAAAAAAATACGGTTGAAGTTGATGTAATATTTCTGGAGCAAGCTGCTTCTAAACATTACTTTTTTATTATATGATTCGAATGATTCAAGATTATGAAATTACAGATAATTATTATTAACATAGAAATCCTTTAATCATTTCAGGTGGACATGCTTGGCATTGCAAACACTGCCCATTTGATTTTGTTTGGGGAATACCTGCAAGTTCATTGGGAAGAAGACAGATGGAAAACTAGTAGAGATTTATCTCAGTAAGTATTTAGCATTTCAAAAACTCTTTGCCTTTTGTTTCTCATTCTAGATTCACCATGACAGAAATACTATTAATTGAGAGAAATGACATAAATATTTAAATCAGAATAACATGTTAATCAGTTAAGTAATTGTGACAACCAAGTGTGGTCCTGGGACTTAAGTATATGGGACCCAAATTTACATTTTGTGTTTCAGGGTGTTGCTGTACTAAACTGCAGTTTAATACTATTTTTTATCTTAATATCAACATAACAAATAGGCAACTTGGACACTTTGTGTGATTACCGTGTGATTTGCATGGGGTTGTTTGAGAGACCCAGCTTGCTTTGGGTCCCATTGATTAAGCATGTCATGGTTTGTCACAGTCAGCCAGATATTTAGACTGGATTTGGCATTTTTGTCCACCAATCAAGTCTTTCCTAAAGACCTGGGAAAGGCAGATATTGATATTTGATAGTGTTAAAGGTATCGTCACAGGATGTAAGCTGTTCTGAGTAAAGCTGCCTTTTGCAATTGACTGATGGTGATTTGGTCTATGCCAACAGTACTCAAATGGTGCTCCAGATGTTTTGGGATTGTACCCAAGGCACCTACTGTATTACATTATTATTAAATTTATTTGCCACCCATCTTGTGGTCTGGGGTGACTCTGAGTGTCTTACAATGTGATAGTGCATGCAGATATCCCTACAATTATAAATATAAAAAAGATTAAAATACAAAAAATTCAAACAAACTAAAATCCCTGTCTTTGGAGCGGAGAGATGGTGGTTCCTTCTCACCAATCACCTCAAGCCAACAGCATCTCCTTCAGGAGTCCAACTCGATCAGCATAGCCAAGTTTTGAGGTTTTTTCTGAAGAGAAATGAGAGGGGGCGAATCTCACCTCCTGTGGCAAAATGTTCGGAAGGGCAGGGGCCATTGGCAAAAAAGGTCTCCTGGATCATACCAGCTAAGATTCCTAGTAGGCCTCTTCTGTATAGTGTAGTGACCATCTTGCCTGTGTTCAAACTTTCTTTAAAAACCTGGCTTTGAGCTACTTAAGGTAGAGAAGATGTGGAAGAATGGTTTACTACCTTGGATGGGTTTTGTTTTATATATTTTTTTGTTTTTATAGAATTGATTTTTTTCACTTTGTAAAGTTGCCAACAGTAGTTTGGAGTTGGGTGGCCCAGAATTTTGATTAAACAAATACCGCTAAGATGTCAAATAATTTAAATGTCTTTTAAACAATGAAGTGAGAAAATAAAAGTTATTTCATGTTTTTAATAGAAATATTAAACTTGGTGTCAACGTTAATGTAGAATTGCAATGTGAAAAAAATGCTCAGGGACACTTTGTGTGCTCAGTTATATCCTGCTGAGTCTATAATTTAACCCTAATATATTTACGGACAGAATATCAAAAATAAATGGGCCTCTTTGTTAATCAAATAGTAAATACACTTTTTCCTTGACTCTGTTCATTTATATCTGTTGAACTTTGACAGACTATTTTTTTAAAGGTATCTTGAATAAACTGATGGCAGTGACAGATGCATAGCTGTCACTTCAAAGTGCTGCTGAGGTCTTCTTAAAGATAAAAGAATACCAATGGAGATAGCATGTTTCTTAATTGCAACACATTCTTGAATGCACAAAATTGTTATTTGTTTTAGCCATGGTTTGTTGAGTAAGCATAGTGGTTATACTCACATGCCAAGCCAAAACCAAGCGAACCACATTATGTCTTAGCATAACATATGAATCCAGTCGCTGACTAACAGGATTAACTACAACTGCCTTCTACGGCAGAAACAGTTAATCCCTTTAACCAAAAGGGTGGATGGATTGGACCTTCCCCATTCAAGAAGTAGAAACTAGAGGCTACCCGTCACAATATTGTGGTTTTTTACTTCTTCCTATGCTTTGCATTTAGCCAAAGAATGATCTAGTACCTGGAAAACACAAACATTTTGTTGCTAAATATCTGTACCAGAAACATTTATAATAATTTTTAATACTGAGAATATGGCAGTCAGCCATTTGAAAGCAAAGTAGTCTTTGAAAAATCAGTGTCTGCCTTTTGAGGTCAAAATAAACAGATGCTTTCACAGCCCTATAGCTTATTCCAGAAACTGTTTCAAGTACTCTAAAGCAGAGATAAAGTTTCTCCATAGGCTTTGAGTAGCATGCCCAGGTGATACACTTGGGGGGGGGGGGAACTGGAGACATCAATGTCATTAGTCACTATATGCTTAACCACACTGAAATATATGGAGAACTTAATGAGGTCCTTGAAGTATACACCTTTGTCCTTCAAGAGGGGCCAGGTTAGCTAGAAGTGGTATGTGTGACTCTTTGCTTTGCACTGTTGCTTACAGATTCTTCCAAGATATTGTAGTTCTCAGGTGGATAGCATAGATTCCTGATTAACTGCACAGACTTCAGGTGGCTTTCATGAACTCATGTATTTGCATCGTCAGCTTAGTTTCTTTTGGATAGCAGTAGTTGAGGCTAAGAGAAAAGCCTTTTGTACACTGTTTTGAGCTGTTTGGACAAACGATGGAGTAAAAATACTATTTAAGTAGCCTCTAAAAATCCCTTCTTGAAGTGAGACCCCATGTTCTATATGGGGGCTATGGAACAGGTTTTTCCAGCGTTGAGAAGTTTAGGATAAGACATACCTGGGATAACCCCACCTCAAGTAGTAGTGCTGCCCAGACCAGTAAGGTGGTATAACCTCAGTTGCTTAAGGGCTGAGTAAATTGATGCAGACTGCTTCTTACCTCTGTTCAAAATCAATGTAATCTACTGTTTAGCCAGTATAGTATACTGGTTAATGTGTTAAATTTGAAACTTAAGTTCATGTCCCCCATACAATCATGGAGCTCATGGAATGACTGGCAAGATAAATGATAAAGAATGCTCCCTGGCTTGAAGGCTTGAAATTAAATTTGCTATATCACTTCTTTCTTGAGCACATGCATTAAAAGATATAAAATCAGAATTCAGCATTTTACAATATAGAGAGTATTACTTGTTTATTCTTAGTTAACTTGATCTTTGTTAATATAAGTAATTAATATTTGGTGCTGTTTCCAAGTTTAGCTGTAGATTAGTGGCTACTGTCCTACAGTAGTCTTTTTCTACTGTATTTCCAACTGCTTTTCTTAAATTATATTATCTTCCTTTCTATGCACTGCTTGAGCCAGATCCCTTACCAATTCAGCAGAATTCCCCCCACCCCTCTTATAGCTAATCGGTCACTTTATCCATACAGTATGGCTTTAACTGGGGAATAATGAATGCCTAAGACATTCAAGAAACTTAGAGCTAGTTAATAGCTTGGGTAGTTTAATGAGATGAAAATCTGAGATGAAAGCTTATGGCTAGTTAATAGGTAACTCAATGTGTGAGAATGTAGAAGAACAATTGATTCATTTTTAGAGAGCTTACTTACCAACATATGTGTAACATATTTCTGTTGACATTTAGTATAATTTTATTTATAACTGAGAGAAAATGGTTTTTTTTTAACTGAAATTTTTTAAAAACTTTCACAAACATACTGTTAATTTGATAAAAGAGGATAGAGGAGAAAAATACTAAGATAAATATTTTACAAACTAACTAGATCTACATTTTTAGAAACATATAGCAGTTTGTGTATATGGGAAGTAGGGCTACCTGTAATATTTGGGCTATTGTTTAATGATGTCTGTGACAATTGTAATTTGAGGCAATCTCTTTTCCCACTTACAAACGTCCTGCTGAGGCTCTTAACCTTGAGGATGATGAGTATGAATATGTACCTTTTACAGGAGACTTGATCTCTGGAGACAGACCTGAACATAACAATTGGATGAGGGAGATGGAGTGCAAGAAAAACAGTTCAGATGGTTTAGAAAAGTGCATTAGAAACAGATTTGATCTTGAGGTTCATGGTGGGTAAATAGGAGAACTCGTGGTAATGGAAATCATTGGATTTTAGCAGGCAGAATCTAAGTTTAAATTTAATTAAACTCTAATTATTTTAATTAAATAAACTTTAAATTTTAAGTTTAATTGTAAAGCTGGCCAGATTAGTTTTGAAGAATTTGCTGTTACCTAACACGTTTCACAGAATAATGTTAAGTATTTTATCATCAGTTCTCCGGAGTACAGACAAGGTATATATTGATTGATTGAATCATTGCAATTGGCCTGAATTCTACTCACCTTTTTATCACATGTTGGGATTCAGAATAATCGCATAAAATTTGGAGTGTCTGTATTAGCCTTTTCTTGGATGATTTAAGCCACCATGAGATGTACCAAGAGCTATCCTACTGAACTCTTTCTGACCTGCAGTGTTAAATTGTCCATTTATATACTTATTTGCCTTTAACTTTATTTTAGAGTACTTATTTTTATCATTTATACAATCAAGGGAATGTATAAATTCTTATTTCCTACAGGTTTCTTTCTTAGAGCTATAAGTCATCATGATAACTCATATTTGATAAATTAAGCTACCCAGTTTTAATATAGATAATCTGTTGGTATTTTTTTAAAAAAATAAGGTTGCCTTTTTATAGCGTTTCCTTTTAGGGGTGTGCTTTAAATAGATGAATGTGCATCAACAGCTTCATTGAACTGGATAATGAAATTCATATGAAGAGTTTTCAAGCAGATCTAAGCAGTATGCTTGTGGTGATCAGACTGTTCAGAATATCTACTGAAATATTTGCATGAATAGTGCAGGAACTCCTTATTCCTGTCCCTAAATTGATGCTTATATTGCACAGATGGAAGGTTTTCAGTTAGATAAATTTAAAGTGTTCCCAATAATGCTCTCTTTTCTGCCTAAGCACATTAGTTCCCTAAATAAACTTATTTGCATTACATTACATTACATGTGGGTTTACAGTTTCAATTACCATGCTTTTTGTTTCAACGTGAATTATTCTGGCCCTTCAGATGAAGAGGGTTTTTTGACCTGGTGGTGGGGAAATTCAAATCCCAACTCCATTTAAATTGAGAAATAGTTTTGCTGTTTATAATTTGTCCTTCTGCCTCCTGAGGTTAACAATCCATTTGATATCTATGGAGATTCTCAGTCATCCAGGTCTATTTGATAGTTTAAATCAAGAATTTTGGGAAGCAAAGAACAGCTTGGTGAGAAAGAAATAGGTTTTTTTATCCTTCCTCTAATTCACCTGATCTCTGTATTCTGTATATTATTACAAAGTAAGGGATTCAATTCCCTATTAGCAGCCTGTTTGCAGAAAATAACTGAAAACTAATAAAAAAAAATATGACTTGTATCTCCATGCTGACCAAATAGAAAGAGAGTTGCTCTTTCTTTCAGCAGGCACATACATGCAAGATGATATTTTTGTGGCAATGTTCAATGTGTGCATAATTGTGATTTTGCATTATTACTCACCCCCTCCCCTTTTCCAAAACTAGTCAGTAGAAACAAAATACAGTACACAATCTTCATTTTACGAAAAAATGGTTCATTTTAGGAAGGTGCACTGCATCAAGTGTTCATTCTTGGAGCTGTTTATTGTATCAAAACCTGCCCTTTGAATAAACAAATGCAGTGAAATGATGTAAAAATGAAATAAACGGCAAAAGTAGATTTTTTAAAAAGTCTAGTTACAGTATTGTGGTTTTAGACAATTAGACTATTTGTTATGAGATCTCTGCAGATCTTTTACCCTGTTTCTGAATTGAGATGTGTTTATGTCATATTTGAAATTTTGTATTTCACTTTTGAAATTAACAACCTTTTTCGAAATCATGAAATCCTACATGTGCATAGCAATTAATATTAACTCATAATTTTATGCTCTGGATCCAATTCAGTTCATGCTTAGAAATAAATTACTTCTTGTGCCAGCTTTTAATTTTTTTTCATAATGAGTAGAAGGCATAATATCCACAAATAATTTCAGTACTTTCAAAGTTTCTGTATATTTCATCATATTTAACTACTACATATGTCTACTACATAATGTGGTTTATGAAATTAATAATAAAGCATCTACATCTAAGTGAGAACTTTATGGCTACATTCAAGGACAACTGAGAAAGTGCTAATTTATATAAGAATCTGGAAGTGGCAGTGTGCAGAATACTCTCAAAAAAGCACTTTTTTCTTCTTGTTTAGGTTCACTGTTGGTGATTTGTGGAATACATTCTTTGACAAAATTCTGAATCCAAATGGGAAATCTACTGTGCCTCTTCTGCAAGATCTCAGAGAAGAGCTGAGCAGTTCATTTGATGGTTCTTTCCCCGGACACCTTTGTGATTTCATACTAAGCTGGAAGACTTCCTTGATGTTGGAGACATGATTCTGACATAGAGAAAGTGCCCCTCTTAATATCTCCCTACCTTTCTCTTCCCCTTTGTACCACCTAAGACAAATGAAAGCTTATGCTTGATCTTGTTCCCGTTAGATATGTAAACAATAAGAATATTTTTCACAATTATTTTCTCATAGGTTGTCAAATGAAGATTAGCTGATGCCTTATATTGCACAGATGCCTGTACAGTTGCTATCTATTGGTAGTATTCTATGCTAGCTTCTCTATAAATGTCCTGAATTGATTGCTTTGTAATATCTTAACTTTTTCATCCTTAAACTGTTGTAAATCACTTGTTTGTTTGTACTCTTTCTGTGTAATCACTGTTCAGTAAAACTGTTTTGTTGCCACTATGAAAATTTCTAGAATTATTGGATGAATGAAAATTTTTGACATTCTTTCTAGTTTTTTGCATCTATTTGGATTGCTAGGTTTATCTGAACATGTTCGTAAGCTATGTATCAAAAAAATCCTGGGAGAGGCAAAATGCCAACTCTTTGATGTGATGTTAGTTACATAATTGGCATTTCTCTACTTTTAGTGGAAGGGAGGAGGCGAAATTATTCCTTTGCCTCTGCATTAGTACTGCCCCCTCTTCTGCCGCCTAGGCTGCTATTTGGATCATGAAGAAAATTCTACTTTGGACAGTAACATTTATGTCAGTAGCAGTATTAGATCATTGATTGCCATGGATCTCTTCCTCAAATATTAATACATTCATTTGGCAGTCTAAATTGTCTCTAATTTGTACAGGTTAATTCTGTACCTATAAAATCATAGGATAAATTTCTACATTTGACTATAGATGGAAGTTGCAATCTGCTAATAGAGAACATTCCAATGTTATGTAGTAAAGCTGCCAACACTTATTCTGCAGCAGCTTAATCTCTCCTGTGGTGATTCCTTTAGAAGATGGTTTGGATCTCATCCTTGGATTATTTTTCATTAAAATTTAGTTGGTAACAATGAACTAAATTGATGGCATTAGCCCTAACCCTTTCATAATAGTTAATGACCCTATGGTAATGACTGGTCTCGGTGCATATTATAATATTTCCCAGTGGTGCAGATTATTTTCTTACTATAAGAATACAGGTAATCTGCTTACAAAGTTGGTTAAGAGTGAATATCTTGACAATCTTTTAAAAAATAGCTTTGCATTTTCTGCTGCTGCTTTTTTAAAGTTTTTTTTGTAATAGCACAGATCTCATCAAACTTGGTAGAGTGTCCACATAGACATGTGGATGTAGAAGACCTGTTCAATGTTGTATACTTGGTCTTTCAAAATACTTGACAAATCCTTTTATGGATTGCTAATTGGTTAGAAGAAAAATGTAAATATTTACTGGCAGTTTTCTTACTGGAGGGAAATAGGAAACGGAGTCCTTGAAATTCTGTGTATAATGTATAAACTGCTTCTTAGCCAGTTGATAGTTAGCTTGACTCAGGATAAGCAGTAAGCAGGTTAGATTTGGAGATGACACCAATCAATGCAAGGTGATTAAAAACAGGATGTTGTGAACATTTTAGAAAGAGCTCTGGGTTAATGGCCAACCAAATGACCAATACAGGTCCATTTAATTGAATATAAAATGTATTTTGGGCAAAAAAAATCCATTACAGTAATTGATATGGGGCGTAAGCTATCTGTAACTAAAGAGGTCCGTATATAGTACATTTTGTGTCTGAAAAGTGTACACTTGGTCACTACATTTGAAAAAAGTAGAAAAGAAAATGTATAACCAATATAATAGGGGAGCAAAAATATCTGACTTTCTGTGATTTTACACACCTTAATTATCTTTCAGCTGACTTTTTAAAAGATAGAGTCCTAAACTTCACTATCACAAGATGTTGTGTTGACCACTAAATTTGATTACTTTAGAGAAGATAAATTCATGGAGGACAGGTTTGCAGGGGCTATTAGTTTTGAAAACAAAATATGATCTCCAGGTCATGGGCAACATGCTTCAAATACAGGTAGTCCTTGACTTACGACAACAATGGAGCCCAAAATTTGTGTTGCTAAGTGAGACATTTGTTATGTGAGTTTTGCCCCATTTTATGACCATTCTTGCCACAGTTGTTAAGTGAATCACTACAATTAAGTTAGTAACAGAGTTGTAAAGTGAATCTGGGTTGACTTTTTTTGACAGATGATCACAAAAGGTGATCACATGACCTTGGGACATTGCAACCGTCAAAATTATGAGCCAGTTGCCGAATATCCGAATTTTGATCATGTGACCACAGGGATGCAACAGATGTGTGAAAAACAGTCATAGGTCACTCTTTTTTTCAGCGCCATTGCAACTTCAAATGTCACTAAATAAAAGGTGCAAGTCAAGGACTACTGGTACCAGTCACAGAGGAATAGTGGTTGGAAATGGAGACTGCTTCAATTGCTCATAAGAACCTTCAGCATCTGGCCACTGTAACAAAGTCCTAGATTAAGATATGCCTTGGCCTGATTCAGCAGGACATGTACCTGAATGTATAACCATAAAAACATCATCCCACCTGGCATTCTGGATAGATTATAAGGTGATTTAAGACATTATTAACAAATAGGAATGCATTGATAGACAGCATAGGAAAATACATTCAAATAGAATAAAACAAATCTCCAGCATACAGGCTCTTAAACTCAAAACGTATTCTACAAATATCTGGGAAGAAGTCCTGATAAGGTTTTAGTGGAGGCTCAGGGAATGCCTCCAAGTTATTCTACTTGTGGGGCCTCAAAACAGAAATTCTAACCATCTCTAATTTCATTGCCATGGGTAAGTATATATCCTACATACAAGTTTTATAAGAGATTCTTTACTAGCTCAAAGCTTGCTCTAGAGCAGACATGTCAAGGCCGGATGTGGCCCGCGAAGTGGTTTCATTTGGCCCGCGAAGCCATCCTGCAAACAGTGAGGGGACGGCCCCCGCTGCCTTGGCCCTGGCCCAGGCCAGCCAGGAGCCAATGTACAATTTTGTGGTGGCCATCTATGCTGAAACGCATTCAGTCTTAGCTCCACAAGGCCGTCTAGAAACAGCGAGGAACCAGCCCCTGCCGTGTCAGCCCTGCCCCCTGGGTGCATGCTGGGGAAGTGTCACCCTTTGTGAGGAATGATGAAATGGACCATGCCTTGGTGCTTGCCCCAGTCCCACCCCCTTCTGCCAGAGACTCTCAGATCTGCCCCACTCCTGCCCAGGCCCCCACAGGCACCCTTGATACGAACGATGTAGAGCTGGCCATGCCCACCCAGTAGGCCACACCCATTCCATCCACGGCCACCCAGTAGACCTCACCCACCCTGGCCACCCCCCAAGGGCAACCGCAATGCTGATGCGGCCCTCAATGAAATTGAGTTTGACACCCCTGCTCTAGAGGTTCTTTTTTTCCCTCTCTCATGCAGTGACAAATTATGAATGTATGTTTCTTTTCAAAGTGTTTACTGCCTTTGCTATTAGAAAACACCACTCCATTAAAGTATTCACCCTTGTAAGTAGTTATGGAGGGTAGCTGATGAACCACAATATAAGCTAAACACAAATTTAATTTATTACTGGCGTTCAATCACTTGCTGTAGTGTTATGCATAATTCTTTTAAGTACTACAGATTCGTTTACTGAGTTCAAGCATGTAACAACCAAAGACTTGTATCATTTGCCTCAAACAATGATTAAAATCTAATATATGTTTTACAAATATGATAAAGGATCTGGAGACTAAATTCGGTAAAGAATGTCTAAAGGAGCTAGATATATTTAGCTTTAGAAGAGAAGACTAAGGGGAGAAATGATAACAATCTTCCAATACTTGAAGGTCTGCCAGAAAAGAGGACATCATTTTATTATCTATAGTACCTAATGGTTGCACAAGAAGCAATGGATGAAAGTTCATCAGAGGGAGATCCAACCTGGAAATATTTCCTCACAGAACTATTAAGCAATGGAACAGCTTGCCTCATGGAGTCAGTGCTCCATCACTGAAGATTTTCAAGTAAAGATTGGATAATCATTTGTTAAGAGTTGATATGAAGACTTCTGCCCTGGGCAGAGGATTAGACTAGAAGACCTCCAAGGTTTTTTCCATCCCTATGACCCAATCATTAATAAATGATGGAATTGTTTAAAAATTCTCTGTGTTTGCCTTAATACATAAATCATATATTTCAAAAATGTTTGACACCTACAAAAGTTCTGTTTGTGTTTTAAAATGTTTATGTAGCTGTCTCTGGTCTTATATTCATTCCCCTATTAATAAATATTCAAGAATAACCTTGGACTAATTTGTTGTATTTGATGTGTACTGCTGCTTACTAAAACAGAAAAACTCCCTGAATCTCCTGTAAGGGCTAATACTTGACTATCTGATTTAAGACAGTTATATTTTTTGCCAGTTATCTAGACTGTTCCTTTCTGAAGGTTAAAATTATCATTTAGCTGTAGGCAGTGAGCACTGGAGAACTGCATAACACCAAGTATCTACTGACTAATAGATAAGATTATTTAGGAAACACTATACTGTACTGTGGAAGGACTCTCAGATTACCAACTCAGATGATTTCACTCTTTTCCTTTAGTTTCTCATGTTATGTGCTGATGTCTTTCTAGCTGTGCTAATATTGGATGGTGAAGATCAGCTATTTCTTTCTTTCTTTCTTTCTTTCTTTCTTTCTTTCTTTCTTTCTTTCTTTCTTTCTTTCTGTCTCTGTCTCTGTCTCTGTCTCTGTCTCTCTTTCTTTCAGTCGTGCCCAATTCTTGGACTGCCTGGACAAGTCCCTGCTGTTTTCTTGGCAAGGTTTTTCAGAAGTGGTTTGTCATTGCCTCCTTCCTAGAGCTGAGGGAAAGTGACTAGCCCAAGGTCACACAGCTGACTTTGTGCCTAAGGCAGGATCAGAATCACAGTCTACCAGTTTCTAGTCTGATGCCTTAATCACCACATGAAACCGATTCTCAAAATTTCAATAATTTTGGAACTGCAGTTTATTAGTTCCAATCATTAATCCCTGCAGATTTCTTGGCAAGATTTCAGAAGTGGCTTGCTGTTGCTACCATCCTAAGGCTGAGAGGGAGTGATTGGTCCAAGGTCACTCAATTGACTTCATGCCTAAGGCGGGAAGTCACAGTCTCCCAATTTCTAGTCTATTGCCTTAAAACAACACAAACTTGCAAGTTTAGATGGTGTTGGTCAACTCTACTGTAGCTAAAGTTTATTGACAGATATCAGGAAGTCAGAGACCAGATCATGGATGAAATGAAAATAGGCTACAGAAAATACAATTCCATTCATCTACTACTAAAAAATCTTTTTAGCCAAATGCTAAAAAAAATTGTGATAAGACTG